TGTTTATATATATATATATATATATATATAAACAATTGTGTATTGGACACAAAGCATTCTATTTTAAAGAACAAAAGATGAAAGTCTGTTGAAGTAAAACATAAGATCATATTTGTGAATATAATCTTTTATTTACTCTAGAATGATGCAAGAAATGTACACATTTTTATCTCAAGGTATAAAATTTTTTTCTTAAATAAGCATTTTTCATTCATACGTTTGCAGATGCATTAATCATTTGTCACAAACCCTGAAGAGAGCAACGACACCAAACGAAAGTAAAAAGAGTTCGCGAGACAAACCCAGCGACGGTGACCTGATTTGAGGCGAGGAAGTATTGCTCTGTGTTTGCCGTATAAAAGCTGAGTTTACTTTCTTCTGTCTGACACAAAATAAAAATTGTTCTCAATTATATAAAGATATGTACATCAAAATATATGCTCTAGTTGAAAAAGGCCTTGGTTGAAGCTATTGGTAAAGGGTTATTGAACGTGTGCCGCTGACGCAGACTGATGACATCATATCCAGGCGTCCACGGCGGGCGGAGCGGGGCTCCAGTGCACTGACGAACCTGCGAAATAAAGCACAACATCAGGCTTTCAGAAAATGTAAAAATGCAGAAGGTTTTCTGTGAGGGTTGGGTTTAGGGTTACGGGATAGAAAATACAGTTTGTACAGTATAAAAACATTACGCATATGGGAAGTCTCCATAAAACATAGAAGTGTGTGTGTGTGTGTGTGTGTGTGAGTGTGTGTGTGTGAGAGAGAGAGAGAGAGTTAACTGAGGGTGAACACATTTTAGCACAATTCCTTTCATGTTTATCAGTGAAATGCCATGTAAGCATGCTTTTGTTTGTTATATAGAGCTCCATAGAGCTTTAATTCATTCTGTACAATAAGCTGTCATATTCAATTACAAGTAAATTATATAAAAACACTTTTATCTCTCTGCGTGGATTTTTTTTCCTCAGTAATTTGGCCTAATACATGGAACATATTTACAAGCACAATTAAACCTAATCATCATAAAAAGTGTTTTTAATTACCTCAGGAAACACAAATCATCTTGCACACGCAGAATGTTGGAAAAATAATGTGTGATGTACATAAATGCGACACTTTTAAGTTGTAATGCACAGGAATAAAGAGAGAGCTGTACAATCAATCCAGGAGCGGAGCGGTAATTTGCATCTTCATTAGCACTTACGCGGAGATCTCAGGATAAAGGGGGTAATTAACACAAACTGCCCCACAATTTAAGAGTTTGCCTGAAAGCACAAGCATTAATTAAACATTAAACACACCGCTATTATGAAGAGACTCGTTGTGTTTGGTCAATGCGACTGGATGCACACAGGCTTTCTGCAGATCTGTTCAAATCTACTTTTTTCTAGCATACTAGCAAATTCAACGGCATAACTGCGAGTTGTTATTTTGAAACATGTTAGCGACATGCTAGTAACTTGCTAATCATGCTAGAAACATGCTTCCGACATGCTAGTAAATTTGCTAATCATGCTAGCGACATGCTAGTCACTTGCTAATCATGTTAGAAACATGCTAGCGACATGCTAGTAAATTGCTAATAATGCTAGCGACATGCTAGTCACTTGGTAGTCATGCTACCAAGTGACAACATGAAACAAGTTTTATTCAGTATTTACATGCGTATTGAAATTGGTTTATGTTCTCATTTATCAATACGCATCAAGTGGAGGTCTATCAATATTGGTTTTTGCTAATATTTGACGATGTGTTTAAAGAATGGCAATCAAAAGATTATTGTGCCGACTATATATTGAATGTTAAATAATGTTCCTAGTCTTTCTTTTCTGTGACGGGGCAGTTCAGAGAGAAACTATACAAGTTTACACTGATTTAAATATCAGATACTGCTTACTGTGTAACCAAAATACCAAAAATAGCCAGAAAAAAAAATATTTTATGCATAATGAGAGATTTTATTCATAAATTGGCTTGAAATACACTGGGACTCTTATTTTGAAATGTCTTTGCTTTAGTCTTTTTTTAGTGCGTTTTTGTGATTTTTATTAGGTTTTGTTTTTTAAAATGTCTATAGTTTTTATTATTCTTTGTTTTAGTTGTTTAGAACTTCAAGTTAAACACAATGAAAATGAGAAAATAGCTGAAATAAAATCATTTTAATGTATTATTTATTTCAGTTGAAGTAACAAATTTTATTTCAAGCAACAAAAATATTTGTATTATTTTAGTTTACTATAATAACACCGTTTTAAATGTCTACATTGTTATATTAATTTTTATTTCTATTTTAATTTTGGTTAAAACATCCAGGTAAACTAAATGAAGATGAGAAATTAGCTAAAAATTTTTTTTAATATTTACTTTAATTTCAGTTTTATTTATATTTCATTTACCACATTTATTATAGTTTATTTTTAGTTAAATACAATAACCTGCAACACTCAAGTCTGTAAAAGGTGTTGCATGCCATTTTTTTTTCTAATAGCACTAAAAAAAACACTGAGAAATTCATGAGAAAAGCTTCATACAAACACACAACAAAGCAAACCAACAGACAAAAGCGAGTGAATGTGTGAATGAAACGAAAAACATGCTCTGCATTCTGAATACTACTGATCTACTATTTAAGCTTATTATTCTCATGAGACTAACATTTCTGAACGCTACTCCTCCTAGAGCTTTCACGCTAGAACTACCAAACTCAGCCCAGCTCTTCAGACTGATCTGACTCGGGTTGCTATATCTTTTCAGACTGATCCGACTTATAGTTTTCATAAAACTGAGGATTAAAAATCATAAAAATCCCATAGACTTACATTGACGGAATGTTCAAATGAGCCAGGACTATTCAAACTCCAACTGTCAAAATTCAAATCTAAACACATTGAAGCCCATTAAGGCCCGTTCACACCAAGGACGATAACGATAAATATATAGTTCTAAAAATCGTTCTCAATATTAAAGAATAGCAGAGTCC